TAAAGAAGCAGGTCAAAATAAAACTTCTGGATAGAGCAGATTGACAGAAAAAATCGTTTTATCTTTAAATCTTAAATGCAAAAATATTTATATATATATTTTCTTTTTACATTTAAGTGTCGCTCTGACAGCTAAAGTCATGTTTTACTCCAGGTAACAATCGATTACTGCATTAATTGACGATTATTTCAATATGTGATTGATCTGATTAATAGTTTTCACCCTAAATAGAATATCAACCATAAAAAAGATAAAATGTCAGGATTTAATGAAACCTAAAGCCACGTTTTAAAATGCCAGTAAATGTGTTTTATGGTCCAATAAACAGATTTAGTGTGATATTTGTATTTTAGTTTATCCATTAAATCAAATTCTTCTTTTTCCGTCCAGATTGGAGCTAATGTTGGGTTTTATAAACCAGCAGCCATCGAAGTGATCAGAGCGCCTGCATCTGATCATCTAATGATGGAAACTAAACTTGTTCAGGGTTGATTTGATCCGATCTGTGAGCAAACAGCTGGATATCTAAACCAATCCCGACTCCTTGGTGTCGTTTTTGTTCAGATTTTGTTCCCCAGCAGCAGAACGGTTGGACTGAATAGGAGCTGAGATCAGGTTGTTACCTAGAGGGATGAAATCCGAGCTGGACTTGAAGAGAGCAGTCGGCAGGAGCTGAAACTGAAAGGACAGAGACATGCGGGTGAGAAGAGAAGAGCGGCTGCCTCTCTATCAGCGACATGAGGTCATTTAAAGGGCCGGTACCTCTTTGGTCTCGTCGGGGTCCGTGTGGTCCACAGTGAGCGACAGGTCGTTCTGCAGGTACTTCAGAGCACTCAGCGGCTCCGACTGGGCCTTCTCCTCGAACCTAAGCAGCACAATCAGACTGCTGTTACAAATCAGGACCACCAGATGGCAGCAGAACCACAGCTAATTAACACTGAAGGTCAGTGAGATCGGATCCATTCACTGATCTCTATTCACTGGATCGCTGACTGCCTGAACAGTGAAGCCACCAGCCGCCATGTTGGTACTCCCTCAGTCCCACAGACTGTGTAGCATTTCATTCACTGGGAAATGTCCATGATGCGGATGACGATGTCCCTTCTGTGGGGCTTGTTTTATTTCTCATTTGAAAAAGTCATAAGCTGAAATATATTGCAGGTTATATTGACAAAAAAAGCCACTTGTATATATATATATATATATATATATATATAAATATATATACATATACACACACGTATACAACATGTACAATCAATCAATTTAGCATTTTTGGCACATAAGTATTATTATCATTAGTGTAGCGCTGATGCCATTTTTTGGCTCCGATACCTGGCTGTGCAGCATCGATCGATACCGATATCATCTGTTTAAGATGGATGTGTGTTTATATGAAGAACTGCATAATAGTTGGATGTAAAATAATCACCATCATGGCTTCATGTCATGCTGCTGCCTTCCTTTGTGAAGCAGGAAAAAGACTAAAAGTGAATCCAGTAGAACTTTTTATTGCTTACCTGGAGTGGGTGACAATAGTTTTAGAAACTTTCAGCTCTCTAAATGGTATCTGCACTAAAATGATAG